TGCTCTTATCACACCACCAAGAAAAAAGTGTGTGTGTGTGTGTGTGTTTTCTCATCATTTTTTGTACCTCTCTCAGCTCTCTCCTCTCCTGCCGGCTTACCGGCATAAGTAAGTCGGCTCAGGGTCAAGTCTCCTGCCCACCTGAGAGCAGGGCTCTTTCTGATAGCCACATAGTTTTGACCTTTTCTGCCCAGTGGATCCAGAGGTGGAGAATGGAGGAGGCTGTGATCTCTTAAGAGCCTTCTGGAAGAGATCTGCAGGTTTCTAACCTCTAAGCGGAAAGTTAAACCAAAACACAAGCGCTGTGGTGACCAAGGGAAGACGTCTCAGTGAAATCACCCACCCCCTCCTTCAACGCCTAGTTCCAGGAGTCCTTCCCTGATCTTTTCACAAACTCTCGACAGTTCCCCGTAAAGTTTCAACGTCTCCTCCCCCCTCCCCGTTCAGCCAAGGCTCGGAAGTTTTATCACCTCAAGTCAGCGTCGCTTGAGAGAGTTCAGGACTCACCTCCACAGGGAATCTGAAGCAAGCTTGCTGGTCACTTTAAGACCATTCATCCTCCTCTTCCCCTTACCCAAGCTCATTTAGCTCAGCAGCATTGGTGCACGGAATAGGGCAGATCTGTCTTTCGAGAAATCAGTCTTGTAGTGCCGTTCAATTCTGTTTGAAATACAAAGAAATCATGCTGCCCTTAATAGATTAAATTTTAATAAAACACATTAAGTCCAGTAAAATATAAATGCATTACTTAAAATTTTAATAGTAAATTAGGACCCAGAAACGAGGAGACAGTGGTTTGCCCCCCTGAGATGGCTTCGGGCAACAGTCAATTTCTGGGTGGGGGGTAGTGCAGGGACCTTGCTGCTGCTGCCAGAATTCCTTGGTGGACTCCTCTTCCCTCTTCGCCCTGAGGGAGGCAGTTCACAGCAGTCTGCATCAGCCAGCCGATGGGACAGAGGTTATTGTCAAACAAAGAGGCTGGGTGAGAAGACAGAGAAATCATCGCTCTAATCACACATTGATAAACTTCTCAACCTTCTGCTTAAGAATTTTTTTACCCCCTGTGGGCTTCCATTTTCTTGAGTAGATGCGTAGATAGGCAGAGGCACTGAGTTTTGGGTAGGAGCATTTGCAGACAGAGATCATCCTAAGTAGATTTCTTATCTGATTCTATTTGCTCTCTCCCCTGCCCCCCAGATCTATTGTCAACTTTCCTGCAGTTTAAATGTTCCATGCTAAGGATGGGGCATGGGGGGTGGGGGGAGGCAGTGGATTTGGAATCTTTTCCCAAGAGCAGCTTCAACATTCTACACTCACTGAGGTACTTGCAGCAATGCCTGTGGGCAAGATTGAAATGGGTTTTATTGATATCACCATGAGGACCTTGGTATTCTGGAAACCGCACCCCCCCCCCCTAAGAGATTGTGAGATTGCAAGTCCTGCTGATGTAGGAAGACATGCATTTCTCTCTACACAACCGCTGTTGTTCATTTTTCACTTTGATTGAGTCGAAAAAGAAGTCAAACTCTGACTTTCCTTTTAAAAACATTCACGTTTTCTAGGAGGGAGGAGACACAGGTAGGTTCCCGGAGGAAGAAAACAGTCTTCTCAATCACACATTAACCTCCACAGGGTAATTAGATAACAGTGGTTATCTTTTTTTTTCTTGTCTGGAATTAGAGATATCATTAAAAAAATAATTCAGAGCTGAAAATAAGTTGTTTAAGGTGAACTTAAAGGGGTATGGAGTTCAATAATCAGGAAAATAGCTTCATGGGAGTTTTCTTGCTCAAAGAAAAAGTATCATCAATAAATTCCACTTCAAACAAAGTTTGTCCAGTCAGTTCGACAGTCCCCTCTCTATTTCATGAATTTATCACACTACCTTATTTACCATATAAAGTGGTGACAAGTGTTTAGCATTTTAGAGATCAGTTGTCAGTTGGTATTAAAATCAAGATTAATTCATATTAACGATATGCATTTCTCAATACTCCCAGGTGACAACATACATTAATACAACTATTGCAAGTGATTAAGCTCAATGAAAGAGGAGGGACTAGGAGAGGTTCAAAACACCCCAAATATTTGATTTTTGCAGTTCCAGTTCAGCAGACTGCCGCCACAACTGTGTCTGGGCAACTCCTCAGGGTTACTTTTCACCCCTAATTAGACACCTAATGAAAGAGAAGAATCCTTTCCCCATGTGGTTTTTCTCCTTGCTATCCCTGTGCCTTTATTTAGTCATGGAAATACTCTATTTAGGAGTTGGAATATCACAAACTTTTCTCTGTAATTCACTTCTATAACAGTCTAGGGGAACTAGGTGGATGAAAACATTTGTCTTCCTGTTATTTCCTGTTCTGCTAAAAATTTCTTTGGCCAAGCACTCCTTACCCACTCAATACTGATAGAAAACACACCTACGTATTTTAATAGATTTTTATTAGGCTTTGGAGATGTTCAACAGTTTATACTAATTACACCATCCAAAGCCTTTTGAAGATTAAGCAAATTGGACAACCCTTGTTAATTAGAACATGATTTGAAGTTTGAAATTATATCACCGATGAAGTGGTCTAATTAGTATGATGATATGTTAATGGACCAGCGAGACACATTGGCAGTGGAGTTTGGCATGGATCTCTCTAAGGCATACACAAAAATCCTCTCTCCTATACTGACATTAATAAAAGATTTCTATAGACTAGAGCGTCTCCACGATGACATTCAATTTATAGTACACACAATGCATCAGGCCACAGAGCTGCTCGTCTTTTCACTATTATGAAAACTAATAAATTCGTCAAGCTGAATTAAGCATACAAATCAGATGAGGCATAGCAGATTACACAGTGAAGCTCGGTGTCTCCCGAGCCTAAATGAAATTTCAATCTAATAATTCCTTCCTGGCTGGGTCATAATTTGTTTAGAGATACTGTTCTACTTCTTTCAAAGCGCTATTCGCACTATAATTAAATGATACTCAAGCTTTTACCTTTGATTTATTTCATTTTGCGAAGCTTGAGACAGTGAGAACTGTACAATGCTATTTTTTTTTATTTCCTTGAAAATTACCTTGGCTGTTGAGGTAGAAATTAAACACCTAAGCACTTACTTGAACAGCCTTGCACAGCCCCGTGCCTTCATGTCAGCTACCCTCTCTCCGAATCCCGTGCCCAGGCTTCTTCAGGCTCTCAGTCGAGAACACTGCTCGCAGGAATTCCCTTAGGCTACTGTTTATTATTTTCCTTTTTCGCAGGGGAAGAGAAAGGCAGATTCCAGACCGGAGAAAAAAAGCGGCAGAGATTTAAGCACCGCGGACAGAGCCCGCTGTGCGCTCAAAGCCCAAGCTTCAGCCGAACTCTGACCACAGCTTTCCCAGCTTGAACCCGCCTGCTCTGGCCAGGATGAGGTCAAGGGAGAACTGGCGGTTCTCTACTCCCGCTACCGCCGCAGGGCTTCCGGGTGCTGACTCCCAGAGGGCTCCCCTTTCCGTGCTTGCTCTCCACTTTGTTTTTTGTCCTAGCGCACAGCAGTTCCTCTTAGGCCTGCCGCCTCATCTCGCACCTGCTCGCCTTTCAAAGCTCCCTGCTTCTGCACCTGCTTCGGGCCACCCCTGTCCCGGATCCAACACCGGCCGGTTCTCATCTGTATCTGCTCCCAGTGTCTTCCGTGCTTGGTGGGGGTGGATGCGAGAGTAGTCCCCCAAACCACAGGAAGCAGAGGAAGGATGGAAACATGAAGGAGAGTAAATAGGTTGTGTTTGGGGGCTGGGGTTGGGGAGGGAGGCACGTTGTTTGCTTTTGCAACTGGAACTCCGAGTGTGTGTTCACTTCTAGGAAAAGTGGTGTGCACTAGTACTAAAGTGCGAGCAACGTGCAAGCTAAAAATAGTCCGCACGCAGCGGCTGTGGAAATGAAGATAAGTGGGGCTTATGCCAGCCCCTGAGGGTGTGTGTGTGTGCGTGTGTGTGCTCGAGCGTGTGTTGTGGTGGTGGCATTCGGCAGCACATGCGCTCTGTATTTCTGGCCCTTCTCTTCCTGTCAGTTGTTCTTTCTCCTTTGATTGTAGCTAATGAAGAATAATAAATCCAGAGTCAGGGTTTGCCAGGGGATCCTCCCAAGTCCCAACTCACCCTGCACTGGACATAGGGAGGAGGTGGAAAAAGAGAAAGAGGTGGGGGTGAGGAATATGTGCGTGTGTTGGAGGGGGTATGCCCATAAAGGGGGGAGTCGCATGCGCACAGACGACCCTAGCGGGCTGCGCGGCTGTCCAATCCGCTGAGAGCAGAGGAAAACCGAGGGAGAGAAAGCCCTGCAGCCCGGCAGATCTACGTCTTTCTGCACTAGGCACCCGCCGAGCGGCGGGGTGCGAAGCTAGGGGCTGACCTCAGCACACATCAAGACCGGAGCTCAGAGCAAGGCAAAGGACCCGAGTTAGCCGCAGATCCTCAGCAGTGGCCGGCAGCGGGGGAATCAGGGTCACTGGACTGCCGGGAGGGGAGGGTCCCTGAAACTTAGTGGTAAGCAGGGGGCAGGAGAGCAGGTCTCCAGGTAAGGTTCTCCTCACAGTCCAGGGACAGTCGCGTCCAAGGTTGGCTTGGAAGGCAACTTTTGAAAGGGAGTTTCTTTTCCTAGGGAGGTGGAAATCTGGCAGAAGCAGCGGGAGGGGCGGAGATTGGTATTTAGGTGACTGTCACTGCCCGGTGACTGAAGCACCGATCTGCCCAGTTGGGTGGGGTTGAACTGGGGAGCGATAGGAAGCAAGAGTTGCAGGTGCGGGGGTGGCAACAGCAAAGCGCGTGCTGAGGCAGCGAAGGCAGCGGGACCCGTGGCGGAGCCAGAGGGGCTGGAGCCAGAGGAACTAAAAGTCGGGGAGAGCCGAGGGGAAGCCAGGACAAGGAGAAACCCACCCAGAGTCAGTGTTTCCTGGCAGGGGAGGGCGGGGGAGAAAAGGAGTGGGGAGGGTGGGTGGGGGGCAGGCGCGGGAACAGGAGACTATAACTCCACTGCCTCGACGAGCTGGTGCACTTTGGGGCGCTGAGGTCTGAAGCCAGCGTCACCCGGAGCAGGGCAACAGCTTCGACAGACCGAGCAGGCAACGCAGCGGAGCTAGCTTCCGGGACTCGGCTAGCAGAGCCGGGAGGCGGTGGCGGCTAAACACAACTTTGTAGTGCTGTCTTCTCTGTTGCTCTCCCGGCGGGCACTTCTCCGGAGGGTCCGGGTACCTGGGACCAGTGTGCGCCAGCGACGAGCACGCCACGCAAGGGAGGAGGATGATGATGTCCCTGAACAGCAAGCAGGCGTTCAGCATGCCGCACGCGGGCAGCCTGCACGTGGAGCCCAAGTACTCAGCTCTGCACAGCGCCTCCCCGGGCTCCTCTGCGTCCGCCGCGCCCTCGGCGAGTTCCCCCAGCAGCTCCAGCAACGCTGGCGGCGGCGGCGGTGGCGGAGGCGGCGGAGGCCGGAGCAGCAGTTCCAGCAGCAGCGGCAGCGGCGGCGGGGGCTCCGAGGCGATGCGGAGAGCTTGTCTTCCAACCCCACCGGTGCGTAGTTCTGCATAATCACCGCTTAAAGGCACATTTTGACAGCCTCCTTTATCTGCTTGATGTTTTTTTCATGTCTGCACAGCAAATCACCCCACACCTCCAACCAATCCCCCATCTCTTAAGTATTCAGCGGGTCTTGCCTTTCATATTAATTTTTATGACCTGGGATGCTGCCTGTGCGCGTGTTGTGTTGTGTTGTCTGCTGTTCACTTTTCTCCCCCTGCACCTAGGCTTCTCGCGGAGGCTTTCCTTCTTTCTTCACTGCCGAGTTTCAGGATCATTGTCGTTATTATTATTTTAACGTTCTGAGAATGTTGTAGGCGCGGTGGCGGTGGCGAGCCCTGGGCCAGCGCTTCCGGAGAGAGCGCGCACAATTCCCAGCTGAGCGTAATGTGTGCCTTCTACTTACAATTGCAGAGCAATATATTCGGCGGGCTGGATGAGAGTCTGCTGGCCCGTGCGGAGGCTTTGGCCGCCGTGGACATCGTCTCCCAGAGTAAGAGCCATCACCACCATCCGCCCCACCACAGTCCCTTCAAGCCGGACGCCACTTACCACACCATGAACACCATCCCGTGCACGTCGGCCGCTTCTTCTTCATCTGTGCCCATCTCGCACCCATCCGCGCTGGCAGGCACCCACCACCACCATCACCACCACCATCACCACCACCACCAGCCGCACCAGGCGCTGGAGGGCGAGCTGCTGGAGCACCTGAGCCCCGGGCTGGCCCTGGGAGCCATGGCGGCCCCCGACGGAACGGTGGTGTCCACTCCGGCTCACGCATCGCACATGGCCACCATGAACCCCATGCACCAAGCAGCTCTGAGCATGGCCCACGCTCACGGGCTGCCCTCGCACATGGGCTGCATGAGCGACGTGGATGCAGACCCGCGGGACCTGGAGGCGTTCGCCGAGCGCTTCAAGCAGCGACGCATCAAACTGGGAGTGACCCAGGCAGATGTGGGTTCGGCACTAGCCAACCTCAAGATCCCGGGCGTGGGCTCGCTCAGCCAGAGCACCATATGCAGGTTCGAGTCGCTCACGCTATCACACAACAACATGATCGCTCTCAAGCCTATCCTGCAGGCGTGGCTGGAGGAGGCTGAGAAATCCCACCGTGAAAAGCTCACCAAACCGGAGCTCTTCAACGGCGCGGAGAAGAAGCGCAAACGCACGTCCATCGCGGCGCCGGAAAAGCGCTCCCTGGAAGCCTACTTCGCCATCCAGCCAAGGCCCTCCTCCGAGAAGATCGCTGCCATTGCCGAGAAACTGGATCTCAAGAAAAACGTGGTGCGCGTCTGGTTCTGCAACCAGAGGCAGAAGCAGAAGAGAATGAAATATTCCGCCGGCATTTAGGGAGCCTTCTCCAGGGACGGCCCTTTCCCTTCGTCCTCTCTTTTCTTTCCCCTCTTCTCTTTCTGCCTCTTTTCTTCCCACTTTGGCTATCAGAAACAATTCCGGTAAATGTGAACCATAACAAGCCAAGATCAAGGGAACGAGCAGCTGAGCCCACATTAAAGAGAATGTGAACCGGTTCGGCAAAGTGAAGAAAAACAAAAGATGGAATTTGCCAAGTTGTAGCAGACTTGTCCCTTTAACCGCACCTCGGCTGCTGGGCTTCATCAAAGGAAGCGTGGAGCTAGCTGTCAGCTGGAAGGCAGAGCGACAGGGTTTTGAAAACCTCACAAGTTCGAGCAAGTAAGATTTGTTTTTATTCTTACAGACGTCACCCTTGTTCACGTTTAAAAGTACACTTTGCAGCTATTTTTCAGAAATAGAAATTGATTCAGTACTGAAACTCGAAGCTAGAGTTGATGCTTAAAATGTGATATGTTAGAGACATCTCTAAAGTATTTTGAATTTAAAAAAAGATGGCAGATTTTCTGCGTTTACACTGTATATTATATATATATATTTTTATTGTGGTTCTTACCGCTTTCTTCCCGATCTGAAGTGTTAATGCTTAAGGAAGGAGTTGCGCCTGCTGTGTTCACTGATCTTGACAGTTATTATTAGATTATTGCCGAACAACCTTCTGTAAATTATTAATTTATCTCTCTGGTAACTTAATTTTGTGCACATCCTAATTAATTAAACTTCTTTAGTCTGAAAAATAAAACCGGGGGTACGTATAACTGCTGATGCTCAAACATTTTTTTTTAAATGAGTTTACTGGATTTTTCCAGTTTCCCTCTTGGAATGTGTTCCCTTTAGCCTATTTGTATATTCTCACTTTGAATGAAGGTGGTCTTCCCCCTTTGTTTTAACTGGTAGTGTTCTGATTTGTGAGTTGACACTCAGTAATGGATGTCTTAATCGTGTAGACCTGACTTACTGTCCAAAGTCTTGTTTACTTCCTTACATATTTAATGGGGATTCCCACATTGTCCCCATGACACACGCGTTCTCTCACCCACACTTACATGCCTACACACAGACACACACGCCCCTAACAGAGGAGAAGAGCAGCTGGAAGCATGACTGACGACCAGGGCATCCTTCTGCAGCCTTGGGTGCATTGTCCACTGTGTGCTTGCTCTGCTGGTTCTGATTTCACCAAGGTATTTCAATTTTCCAGTTTTCAAATTGCTTTGCTGCTACATTTTGACATTAATGTCAGTTTTTCCTTTTAGGGGGTTTGCTTGTAGGAAAAAAAATGAATTTGAACTATAAGAAAAACAGTGCACTGCTTGTAAATTCACACTGTTTCATAGAATTCCTTTGGAGCACACACAAAAATAGGTGCACGGTGACTGGTACCTTATCCATTGTAAATATTTCATTCAAAATGATGCACATATAGATATATTCTTACAAAATTTGCTGTAATTGCTGATCCATTTGCATCTCTCTAAAGTCCTGAGTTCTGTATATGACCTGATTTCTTGTTTTGTTAATAGGTTGTTTATTTACTATAGAAATGTATTAAGTTATTTTGGGTGTTGTTTGATTGTCTTTCACCTATGAGAAGATTTTAATGTTTTACTGGCAAAGTATGCTGCTTTTTTCATTAAAATATGCTATTAATATTAAATGACTTTTAAAACGTGATGCTGTTTTAATCATTTATGTGGGAATTATTTTGCCGCTGATTCTTTTAAGAGACAGGAACACAGAGAGTGGCTGTTATTAAAATATACCTTGGGCTTAGCAAGAGGCATTTCCCTGGGAAAGTATAAAAGAACAGGCTTTATAATATCATGTTAATGGGCAGAGCTCATCTCATAGGGCACTTTGCTGTTTAGCTTAGATGAAATCACCATGTCTGGCTCCAGATACCGCCTTCAGAGTCCTTTCTCCAGACCTGAAATGATTCTGTAAAGAGAATCCTATAAAGTCAAGGTCAGATGGGGACTATTTCATCCATTCCTTCTCATCTCCCATTGGGCAAAGGAAGAAAGGAACTCAGAACACTTTTCCATAGCAGTGGGAGGCTGGGTGTGGCAATGGTGGGGGCAGGACTTGGTGAGCAGGGAGAGGAGAGAGGGCTTCCCCCTTAGTTCTCAGTTCTTTAGCCTGTCCTGGAGATCAGTGGTCCAAGCTCCTGCAGAAAGCACCTGGGTTTCTGGCAGATGAATAAAGTCTGTCTTAGTGTCCTCTGTCTCTGTGTCTTTCTATTCCCCATAATCTTTAAGGAAACTAATGTTATTGCAATGGACAGGGTGTGGCCCCTTTGGTGACTTTTTTTGACATGAGCTGGAGGAAGTCTATTAAACATTGATGTGGCTGTGGAATTCTGCCCATTTGGCTCAGGCACTTACTTTTCTGATCTCACTTTAAGACACTTTCTCTTCCATTATAATAATTTTCAGAGCTTCCACAATAGGTGAGCAATGTTTTGGGCTTTCAAATTTATTTTTCTAATAAGAGCCTGATTTGTATTTTTAAGTCATCTACATCAAATTAATTGGTATGAGAACACTATGTTAATATATAGATCAAACAAGGGGGAAAAACGGGTAATGACCTGTCCTTATACCCTCTGGGGGTAACTCTTCTTTCCCGTGTTGGCCTTCTTCATATGAAACTGCTATGAGATGGTTCTTTACTTGGAAGAGGCTAATAAAACAAGACACAGATTTATGAAAATTGGTATAGGGTTCAAAATAAGATTAAATGCTGCGGGAAGTTGATTAGTATTTCCAGACGGAACTAATAGTTGTGAAATTTATATGGAAAATGAGTGGAGGGGCCATTTCTTCTATAACTGAAACAAATTACATGGCTCAGAAGCAAGATTGAAGTGACCATTTAGATAGAATGAAGTGTACTTCACAGGTGTGAAAGAAAACACAGGCATGTGGTGTTTTAAGAGGAGGAACTGTCAATGTAGGTCCAGTGACATTGGTGGTTTGGTTTTATTCCTGTACTTAGCAAGGCTGATATTTCTGTCTTTCATGTCTTTCCCCATCCTTGGAGGCAGTTTTCCTGAAAGTCTTCGCAGAAAGCTAGCTTCTTGTCTCAGTGTGGGGCAAGTAATTTCAGCACCATGGCCAGTGACCACAAGCCTGAGTAGTGTCCTAACAGAGCCATCCAGTTAAAGAACTTTTCCCTTGTATGTGTGTGTGTGTGTGTGTGTGTGTGTGTGTGTGTGTATTTGTTTATTTTCAGACCAGAGATAATCAATTAAATAACTTCAGTGTGTAACACGTCATTCTTTCTGATCTGGAGCAAAAGTGATTTCCATAATTAATAATCTCCTGAGTGTGGGTTTTAAATAATGCAGGTGGAAGCTTGCACCCCAAGAGTTAGCTGACAGAAAAATGGCTGGCGTGCTGCTTATTGTCTGAGATCATCAAATAAGCCATCTTTAATTGGAATCACATCAAAGTAGTAAGCAGAAATATTTCTGAACAGTCATAAAATTGCTGTTTATGATTTTGGTTCATTTTGGAGGACATGACAACCTCTATGTATGCTTGCAGAAGAGCTGCTTTTCAGACTGAAGTCCTGTGATTACCTTTAATCTAGCAAGTTTTGTATTTTAAGTTTTTAGAACTTTATTACACTTTCAGTTCATTTTGTCCATTTTTGCCAGGGCAATCCCCACCCCTTTTTATTTTTAAGGTGGAAATGACTTCATTATTAGAGACTGATTACATGTGTGTTTTATGGAAGCATTAGACCTTTTAAAAGGTAAATACATTCTGAAAGATTTTTTTTTTATTAATGAGAGTTTCAGAGACATACAAAGCCAAAGATTTGAAGAGAAGAAAGTTGGGTTTAAAGAAGAAATCAAAGGTAAGAATAGACTGAATTATGAGTAAATTCTTGAGAAATTTCCATTTGATATTGATTTTTAACACACATGAATACACAGAAAACATTTCTGAAATCTTTATCATGTCAATCAAAGCCATCAGCATTCATGACTAAATTTTTTATTTTTTCCTCAATGCCACAATTGCTATCTTATTGCAAAGAGATATGTTATGAATTGACTTAGCAGCCCACTTCATGGACCTAAATTTTATGTTTCAGAATTGTCTAGTTTCTTTTTATTAGCTTCTGTTTCATATGACTATGTAAATCCACACTGAAATGAGACAAATCAGCAGCATGGGACACGGTGGTGCATCCTGTAATTCTAGAACTTGGGAGACTCAGATGGAAAATCAAAAGTTCAAAACCTGACTGACCTACATGGAGAGTTCAAGGTCATCCCAGGCTACTTAGTGAGATCCTGTCTCAAAATGCAGAGAGCAAAATAAAACACCATGCACACTATCTACGTACTCACCGCAGTTACTATTATACTGTCTTGGAAGAATGCAGTTGCTATTGGAAATTTTCAACTCCACTGATACATTGCTTAGGGAAAAATAGAGAAACTTGAAGAGTTGAATGAAGTAATTAAAATTTATAAAGCACTCTCTTATTTTATACAAAATACATTTGTAAGCAAGTAACAGTCATGGTAGCTTACACTTACAATCTCATCTCTTGAGGAGCTGAGGCAGGTGTGTTGCTGCAAGCTTGAAGCCATCCTGGCTACTTAATGATTTCCAGATCAGTCTGAGTTATACCAGAATAGCCTACTCCAAAAACAAAATGAAGCAAATCAATAACAAGATTACATTTGAAATAAAAACAAATAATAGAATACAGGTTTTGATTTTTTTTTTTTTTTTGTGGCTGTCAAGTCCAGTTCCTGTGATTTCCTTTTGTCCCGATAGTTGAACTGGGGTGTGTGAGCTAAAACACCTTACTCCAGACTTCAGGAGAGTTAGTTCATGTTTCCAGATTGGTAAAGCTCTTGAGGACAGTGTGAGAACAACACTGAAGGAAAAACAAACAAAACAAAAAGCCCACCCTACTTCACAGAGCATCCTGTTTAGAGGGCGGGCCTTCAACTTTTTGGGCAGATCATGATAATAGGTTTAGAAACTTGTTTCTGTAATGATTTGGCCCAAGTGATGTCTAACTCCAGGCAAAGAATTCCCATTACAACCCTGCACTTTGGATTGTAGCCGGCCCTGAAGGGAGACAGAAAGTAGAAGGTGGATGGCTGTCCCTGTAGTACAAAAAGGGGGACAGAGCTTTCTGGTTGGTTGTGAAGTCTCTGAACTGCACATTTGTCAGGAGACAGATTTATAGTGTTGAGAAAAATATTGCTAAATTTCTCCTGCTTGGCCCCTTTAAGAGTCATTCCCAGTACTGAAAGTCTATTATGAGCGAATTAATAAATTACACAGCGAATTATTAAATCCAGATAATTACAAGGAATAAGTAAGTAATCATTAGTTATCTCAGCTAATTACTGTGGGTCAGAGCCAGCCAGAATGTGAAATCCTCCCCGGGAATTGAAATTAACTTTGCACGGCAAGTCTCTCTGCTTGACATCCTCACTCCGTAGGCACATGGCAGCTCCCCTGTGAGCCAGTCTTTCTATTTAACTTGGAGAGAATAGAAATAAAATTAAGTGGCGATGTGATAATAGGAAGCTGCTCAGAAAGCAAACTGTGGGTTTTCTGTACTTTCTGTGCCTGGAGATAAAAAGGTTTATTTAGATCAGTTTCACATTTTTTTTTTTTTAAAAAAAAACATCCTTCTTGAGCTCTGGCTCCTGAAAAATCCTGGCACAAGTGCCTCAGCACCCTCTGATAGATAGATTAGCAGCACAAGAGCCTCTCTCTCTCTCTCTCTCTCTCTCTCTCTCTCTCTCTCTCTCTCTCTCTCTGGTTGGAGGAGGCAGCCATCAGAAAGAAAGATAAACTAAAACCCTTACTCTTTGTTTGCACCCCCACAGTGGAAGGCTCTTTAAAAGGGCAGCTCAGATATAATAATCTGTTTGCTTGTTTGTTTGGGTAACATTAAGCTTTCTTCTAGCCGCAGGAAGATTCTGCAACTGCTGTTTCTCTCTTCACCAGATACCTCAGGAGCTGATGTCACTTGTTTTTATTTAGAATCACTTTCTGAATCTGGGCTTCCCTGCCCCCCCCCCGCCCCCCCCCCCCACTTCCCACCAAGCCCCCAGGCCTTCCAAAGGGCAGAAAAGAGGGCAAAGCCTGGTGCCTGTTGGAAAGTAGAAAACGAATCCGTGTGATAATGCGTATCACAGACCTGGGAGAGTCTGGACATTTGAAGAAAACGGCTGTTAATGTATTAAAATGAGGGTAAATCTAAGAGTGCTCTCTCTCTCTCTCTCTCTCTCTCTCTCTCTTTATCAATTGCAATTAGATGGACGGTCTTTCCGCTCATTCCCTGCTCTAGTCTGGGATGATAATAAAAATTTAATGAAGCCTGGGACGAGTCGAGAGCTCTGTCGAGGGACCGTGGAATAGAATATTTTAACTGTACATTTATACCAACTGTCTAGCTTCAAAGACGTGACTGCTTTTAATCTCGAATTATAAAACCACAGACTTGAAATTAAATATTAGATACCCTCCGATCCCTTTCCTTTCTGAAATATTGTCACGACTCTGTTTTCCTCCATTGCCCCGGAACACACATTATCTTGGGTCTCCAATTACATTTCCGTGAATAATAGATGGCTTTGATAGGATGTACTATTCCAGAGCTTTTGTGTGTGTGTGTTTTT